CAACGGCGAGCGGAGAAGTGTGCTGTGTGCGTTCATGGGACCACTTGATTTTACGCCTTTTGTGATTACTGTACGTTGAAAGGGGGAGGGGACATTCCGAGATCTCCGATTGTGCAGATGTTTCTCGGACAAGCTGACCCATCCACGAGCGTGGATGATGTAACACCTTCGCATCTAAGTGCGCGGTAAAGACGCTAGGCGTTTGAGACGAACGCAGTGCCCCGCCCACCGCCGCACGCTACACTCATTTCTAAAAGTCTCCTAGTGGTGCGGCTGTTCCGCTATTACATTTTTTTCATCTTTATCATTCTGCTGAGTATCGACTACACACAATTTTTGATGCAGGACGTAACTTTAACTGCCTAAACTTGTAACTTTCTCGACAGTCATAGCCACATAAGGACGATAAGGAAACGATTCAAGCGCTGGCTGTTGGGTATACGCTGGCTACAGGTTCCTCTTTGTAGGGGAGGGGAATCGTTAACACAGAATGAATTCGGAGTCTCAGCAGCGCCGGGGTCTTGGCGCGGAGCTCAGTTCCCATTCCACTACCAGTGAACCATCGAGGCCGCAACGCTCGATAAGGCTGACCTGCAGTGGCCTGCTCAATAGGCTGGCCTGCTCAAATACTACGTTCTGCTGACACGCCCCGACTGATTCACTGATAGCGACTGTAACTAAAGGCCTAGTTCCCCTTCCTACGAGTAATATTGGCTCTATGTACCGACTCAAATTACAGTAAATGCTGCCGCTAATGCAGTTATGCTTAGCGTACCCATCGGCATGAAGGGCTCGATTAAAAGGCACGTGACGATAGAACCGCTTGCTGCCGTGCGCTACAAACGGCGCAAAGATGCGAAAGGAGGGGCTCATTCACCGTTGGAAACGAAGGGAGTTTCTATCGCAGTACAACTGTAGCACGCTAGCATGCGCCTAGATGAAGTTCCACGAAAGCAATAGGGGCGTGGCCCAAATCAGATGTTGCACAATTTTGGTGCGCGCAGTGGGGATAACACTGACAAACACCCGCAAAGGGAATGTAGAGAAAATCGCCCTGAAATCCTTCAATTTCAGGAATCGCCACCAAAACAAGCAGCTGGTAAAAAAGGACTAAAACCACCGAAACAGGCAAAGACGAAGAGAACAGTGGAAGGTACGTGGTGCTCCTCCCTCTAAAACACCCGGTAACCAAAGGTTCTAACAGCAATCCGTTGCTTCCCATCCCATTCCAGTCTTAGCTGTCCTCTGACATGCCCAGATTTCCAGGGCCAACGCAGGAGGTGGACTTGAAAGAAGACGGTGGACTGCAACCAGCAGGGCGAAAGAAGAGCGCAGCCGGTGTACCTCCTGCTCCTCATGTAGGCACATGAAAAAGCGAATTTCTCCCCTTTTTTCAGTCCATTCCATAATTCCACGTTTGAAGCGAAA